TTTTTTTTTTCTTTTTCTTTGAATACAGACACTAAACTAAACTCATATGTATATATATACGTAATTACCGACGATTATATTGGCACAACTGAGTCGGTGCAACGGGAAACTAGCTCTGAAGTTTCATCGAATTTCAGTATTTACAAGATGGATCGTATGGCGGATCCTCTTAAAAAGGTCAAACTAATATCATACTAATTTTAGACTTACGTAAAGTTCTTTTATAATAATTTCTTTTCTTCAAATAAAAAAAAAATGTATATAAATTCAATCTTCATTTACAACTAAGCATATTTTACTCCGGGAAAATTACGAGTTAGGTTTACATCACAGAATAACTTTGGAATATAATACCCCGATCGTTTCCCGAACACCGTTTTGTACGTTCGTCGATAATGCTCTATAAGCATTTCTAAAGTAGTTCGTTGTAGAAGCGAGAAACGTTTCACACTCGCGCACGTGCGTCAACACAAAGGATGGAAAACAGATGGCGGAATATCCGCGAAAGTTCAGCTTCACCGAAGCGTCTTCCACAATTGCACCACGACAATTGACCCTCAGCTCTTTCGACGAGATCCTAGGCAGTCAATTATCTATTTGAAGCGTGTGGAAATTGATGAACAGCGTTGATTACTCAGTCCTCTTGTCGATTCAAAATCGTTGGACATTACTCGAAGTTACGAAGTTGCTCGAAGAACGTCGGAATAAAATTGACAATCGGTCAAAGAACCAGATTAGTATCGGTGATAGTAGAATTTTCGATTCGAAACAAATCGTCCAATCACCGACGGGACAACATACAAGTTGTTCCTTCTTTGAACACCTTTTCCCTCGTTCCTTGTGCAGTTTGATTCGTAATTCACAAAATGTACTTTTCATCAGTCTTTTATCATGTATTCGTCCCGGTAACGTTACTAACACGGCCGTTTCAAAATTACAATCTAACCCTCCCTGCGCATCTTATTCTTTGAACGGTGGCGCTGGAAGTTGGTAATCTAGTGATTTCATAGTGGAAACAAATATCCCTATAAGTAACATTCCGGAGGCGAACGTTGGAGCAACTCTGCCAACGTACTTCGGAAGCAGATTTCTTCGAATTATCTTGTTGAAACACGATTGTTTTTAATCAACTGACGAAAACATGTTGCAGTAAACAACTCGTCAACGTTGTCAACGTTAAAAACGCGCAGTTTAATCAGCGCTACGTCTCGCGTCACTTCTTCTCTTCCGACTCCTGGTTAGTTTTGACGAGATTATACGCGTGACTTCTATACTTTGCAGGCGGGTCGTGAAGAGGTAGAGGTTGCTGCTGTTGTTGCTGCTGTTGTTGCTGCTCGCTGGATGGCTGACTCATGCTAGACATCGAGAGATCTGTTGGCATATCGATTTCCGGCTCGACGCCACTTCCGCCTTCTTCTTCCGGTTCTGATTTTATCCGCATTTGCTGACGCAGCAAAGATATATTCTTTATGTTCTTCAGCTCCGTTGGATTTCGCAAAAATCTATACACAAAGAAGTCACTTTAGAAAATCTAACCTTGAAATTTCCAACTTATCCGATATCGTTCTTTTATTTTTTTAAATTAAATGAAAATAAATGAAATTAAAATTATTTAACCAGCTATTCTGCATCGAATGCAAAAGTAACTGTGGACTTATTAGCTTTCGAGTATTTTGACGCAAGAAAGGACTATCGTGCATGTAAGTGTTCATATTCCAGTACATTTTACGAAATTATTTTCTCACTCTTAGAAGAAAGAATAATTAAGACAACATAAACTTACTGGTAACAGTGCCGTTCCCCTTGGACCTTTCGTAAGATATTCACTCGATAATAATATCGTAGTGCTCTACTCATTTTATCGTAATTCATCGAAAGATGATTCTTTTGAATGCCCCAGAGCCTGGCTAGTCCCGGCGGGTCGACAATCTTGAACACACCTGTTTCCCGACTTTTCCACGCGATGTAATGTGTGTACCGTTGCGACGGATCGTTCAGAAGTTGTTGAAGAAAGTCCCACAAAAGTCTACCGTCTACGGCAAAAGAGGAAGAAAATTTAACAAAATCGTTCGTATCGAGCAAACTATACTATTTTCCGTTCGATGCCGATTGATAACCTCAATTTCAGTAGTGTTGAAAAAATCAACAGTATCGGTAAACAATTTTATCAGAGATTAATTGAATTAGTGCAAACAGAACAATACCACACCACGTCTCGTTGAGAAAAAAAAAAAAAGAACAGTTACACGTGTATGATAAATAAATGGATAGTAATATCATAGAAACTTGCTCGAGTGTGTACTTACTGGTGTTAGGTTCAGGGGAATCACTGGGGAAAAACTCTCTGGCAGCATTGGCAGGGTTCGTTCTAAAGGCACCGGGTGTGAGGGGCATCATTGGCTGCGTTAACGTAGGACTGGGCTGATCCTTAACACAAACTTCGCTTAACCTTTGGGCTGCAAGTGCCGTCGGCGTGGCTGGTGGGCTTCCGGTAGCCGCTTGTTGATTATCCTCGTCCGAGTCGCTTTTGTAAATTTGACTTTGGGTTCCCTCGGTGTGGCCGGGGGAGCCCGCTTGGCTGTCGACCGACGGTGCCGGTGACAGTGTCACCGAATTCGCGGACATTAACGAGGCCAGGTTCGCGGTGTACGGATTCTCTGTCCACGTAGGAGTTGGTGGATGCGAGTGGGGACTGAGGGGGTACGCGGAAGGCCTAGTTGGGGTCACCGGACTGCTGGGTAGACATCTCTGGAGCTGGTTAAAGTCTCTGGCCAGCATTGAGAGGACATTGTGCAACACATCGCCAGCACCCGGGCATCTCTCCCCCAAATCAGCTTTTGTCAGCAAGCAGAGCGCCTTGCCGTTCATTTGGAACATGTCCATGTCGAATTGGGGTAGGTCGAATTCCCGTTCAGCCCATCGAAGGAACGTCGCCACATCCTCGCGGGACCACAACCGTGGGTCTGAAGCTGTTCAGCACATGTGTTCGGTTATTTTTACTTCGTCTTTCTCTTATTTCTTCTTATTTAAACGGTTGTTAGTATTCCAATGACGTTTCTCAAACGACCTGCGACAATTTATTCTCAACCAACTCTAATTTGCTTCTATTTTATCTACCATCTGTTATATACGAGTGTAAGATCGATGCTCGATTTTTCACTTTTCAAATGGAACAATTTATTGCTATTAACACATTGCCAACCGATTCGATAGATCTGCTCTGCATTTTCTGCTGTATCATTCGCAACGAGCGATACGCTTCGTGTTCTCGTATACAGGGTGTCCATTTTAACTGGACACTCGTCGTGGAATATCTCGGTGGGAATTGAAGCTGTCGAAATCTTCTATTTCAAGGTCGAGTTTATGTTTTCAAACGGAACGCTGTACGATAACGTTTGTTGAGACGAATTCAACGATGTGTCGCACCGAGTCGCTTCGTTTTCATGAAAAATCGTAAAACAGCGAAGAATTGGGAAGTCAGGTCGGCTAAACTCTACCTGACTGTGCTACGAATACAAATTCTCCACAACTTTCCACGAAACGAAATGACTTAATGTGCCACCTCGTTGAATTCGTCTCAACAAACCTTATATGTAACATTAAATGTAGAAAAATACAGCGTACCGTTTCAAAAAAATAAATTTGAATTTCAAATCACTGCCGTTACTTCATTTGCATAAATAAAAAACTATTTATACCGTATTATGTCCTCCATCATATCGAACAACTTTGGCAAGAACATTGTTTCGATAGCTTCAGTTCCTTCCTGGTGTCCCAAAAGACACCCTGTATATTCGAAGAAATTTTCTTCCATAATATCATTCGATAAAACGAACCACCGTTCAATTTTACATTATCAATTTTTCTAACGAAGGTTCGATTATCAATTTTTCTGGAAATCCATTTATCAATCTTTTAGACACTTAACCCTTTCACTGCTGTTGAGACGCCTACAGGCGGTTCGAAAATTTGCTCGCACCGTGTCCTTGACGCTTTTCCGCACTCTTTCATCTTAATTTGATAAAAGAAATTACAAATTTTTTAACAACTTTTTAAAACGCGAAAACGAAAGATTTCGTGGTCTCGATCGAACGTCTGTCGTTTGTCACGCGCGTTACGTAATTAAGATCTGCGGCGGCGAAAGGGTTAACTGCAACCTTGCTCGGTTGGTAATGTGTGAACATCTGATTAGTGGTTTGCAATTATGAATTTCAATAATAAATCGTACGCGATCGGTAAGAAATCGACTGTGTTAACTATCAAATAGAAAAGCAAAGAGACGTTTATCTTACTTTCGTGCTTTCTGCGTATATGTGTGTATAGGGTGGGTCAACTATCAAAGAGAGTGCGAAGAGGTGAAGATTAAAGGGAGAAAGAGCTTACCTAAACTTGCTGGTAGATGTGTCTTGAAGTCAAGAAAGGGACTGGGTGGTGGGTGAGTGGGTGGAAAGTTCATGGCGGGACCGTATCGCCAAAGTAGTTCCGTAGGGCTGAAGGGTAAAGATATACCCGGTGGTAGCCGAGAGTCCATCCCCGTCATTCCACCCCCGGCCGAAACCGGTGGCAATTGCGGCAACTGGATTGACGGCAGTAATTTCATAACACGTCCTGCTATTTCTCCTATCTCCTCTGTAATCAACGAAATCACATTTTTAAATATGCCTTACCTGCTACCTACAGTCGGTATCGTAACAAAAACGATAATTCGTGAAACAAAGATCGTAGATCGTTTACTCGATCAACTCTGTTCTCTATTTTCTATACAACATACAGGAGTGTTGCCTGTACACCCAAAATGTTAACGCTGACCAACTACAATAATAAAAAAGAATTAAGCCAGGCAAAAGTCATTTTATTAAACGATTACATTAATACGTCTGAATTTATCAACAAGAAATCATCTACTGAATTAGTTTTCATTAAGAATAGCGATGCACAGACTTCGCATTGTGAATCACTGATAAGGAAGGATAGAGAACCGCCGTTATTATGTGTACAAGGGTAATTCCCTGTCAATTTCAACCGAAACGGTGTGATGGAAAAATTCGCGCTGTCGGGGACTGTCCAGGCTTATTAAGTCGTGTTATATGGAAACTGTGTTACAGAAGTGTTGTCTGTATTGTATTTTCAACTCTGTCGGTACGGCAGGAATCGACTGTTTATATTTTCTCGATACAAGATAATGCTAAGTTATCGTCGATATGAATATTTGTTTACCGAAAATGAAAAATATTTTAATGAAAATCCAAGAAAATTCTATAGTGACGACATAATGATTTTACTAAAAAAAAAAAATAGGAAAAAGGTGTGAACTTATGTAGAAGGCGATTACGTTTCTTTTTCTCAAATTTCAAGGTTCGTTGGAAATATTGATCTAAATTATAAAATTCGACACAAACTTATGGGATCACTTAAATGCAATGATCTACTTGCAACAACCGTAAAATCGTAGAATTACAAGTCGAAGAGTCGATAAAAATCATACGAACATACTATATTTGAAAACAGACAGTCAAATGGGCGCGCCACAATGCTATACACAGTGTCCCAAACAAACGGGAAGATTTATATTGAAAAAAAAAAAATTAGATGACCGAAATGTTATAAGGCTAAATTAAATAGTATTAAACGCTGCATATCTCTATATTATTTTCATTAAATTTACTGCAGTTTCAATTCGTATGCGTGAAACAGTGCGTCCAGGTGTGCTGGTACACTGAAATAATTAAGCAGAAGAACGAATTTATAATCGAAATAAATTTTGAAGATACGAGTACTTCGATACTTTGTTCATAGATATTTTTTACAAAAACTGCATCGAAAAATACAAGGTTCCATTTGGAAAAATTAGACACGCAGTATCCATTTTGCACTTTTCAGTTGCGTTGATGCACGAGCTTAGGTAAAATAGTAAATGCAGGAACGTAGAACATCCGTAACCGTTTAATTTTACTCTACTTCTATCTCTAATCGTTTTCGAGATACAGGCCTGTCCAGTTACGTGGGACACCCTGTATATCAGGTCAGGAAAGAAGAAAAATTGTTAGCATAGACTAAAGAGGTACGAGACTGAAAGGCAGCAGGAAGTGGGAATTTACATAACTTATTTCCATCGACCTCCAGGCTCTTTTCATTCTTCCAATTTTTTCGCTCGTTTCTCTTATTCTCGCGAGAAAGTAATCCTCGTTTAACACATTTGCCAATTCTTTTCAACAAATTCTCCTTAAACGCAATTTTCCAAATATTCGACTCTCTTTTCGTTTCGGTAATTTTCTTTTCTTCGTAGAACCGCATGAATTCTCTATACAGTAGTGCACACATAAGCGTTCGCATTTTCGCACACTTAAGAGTCCGTCGCTATCCCCACCAATTCTTGGAAATGGGACATCGGAGTGGAGTTCGAGCGTGCCGAGTGAAACAAAGTAATTCGATATCGACTCCTGAATGTGAACAACTGACACTTGATATATCGGTATCCTACTCAGCACATCTCTCTTTTCTTTAGTTAAATTCGCAGAAGTCACCTCCCCACTTAAGCGTCCGTGTTCGGTCCCGACTGCGGACGCTTATACGTGCACTACTGTACATTGTGCTTCCGATCCGGTTCTAGGTTGTTTTTCGTTCGTGCTTCAACAAACAGCTAATTCAACTGTCGATTAATTCCGGCAACAAACTGTATCAAGTTACTTCAGCACAGATGAATCTTCGATAGTAAAAGAACAAAAGGAAAGAACGCTTTTCCAGAGGAAGAAAAAGGCAAAGATGTTGGCATTCGAAGGTCAGTGGTTCCATTATCTTTGCATCAGGAAATTCTCGGTTCGAAATGCGCGCCACGTGAACCGACGGAAACGCGGAGAAATAAAATGATCAGGTGAGAGATAGGCAAGAGAAAAAAGTTTCGGAAAAGAGAAGAAAGAAGAGATAAACCTCTTATTACATGCCTCGATTGCTTCGCTCGATCGATTGTTAACTTCAACGCTGCACAGTGCAGTATTTTATATAAAAACTTGGCCAAAATTCAAATTTTCATACTTAATTAAAAATTTTAAAAGTGGCTTTTCTTCAAAATGAAGTATCATAGCGGCCATTTTGGTGACGTCAGAATTTAGGCAGAAGAAGGCCATATAAAAAGTTTATTTGTTTTTTTTTTGTTATTATTAAAACATAATCGTTATTGTTTCTGATTTCCTGTGAGCAAAATCGTTCCTGTAATAATATTATGTAAAAATGATTTAAAAATCGGCAGTAAATTCTTGTTTTCTTTATTATCTACACGTAGAACTCTTAAATCGAGAGTTTCATATTAAAATAAATTCTGTCTCTAAATCGGTTTATTTCTGAATTTTTTATTCACCTGTGAGTTTTCATGTAAAATTGTATCAAACAATTGCGTTAATCATTTCTAAGTGCATTTTGTTCTACTAAATGCTAGTAAAATAATTTAGGTCAAGTTTTTCATACAAATCCAACTATTTTCATATTTCCCTTTGATATGATATTTTTGTCCTTATAAAATCGCCATAAATGATTCAAAATCTTGTTACATTGTGACACTTTTTCCAAAATTGCTGTTCCTTGTTGCGTTGCTTAAAGGGTCAATTTAAAAATAAATGAAAAATTCATGAAATTGTTTTTTTTTATTTTCCACGTTTATCCGCCATTTGTTAATCTATACGTACAGTCGGTCACAAAATGATTCGGATACTATTTAGAACATTGTAACCTTTTAAAAATTTGAAATTTTCAAAAAGTTGCAATTTGTGAAAATCGCCAAGAAAATTGTGAAGGTCACGTTTAACAACTTTTTAAACTGAGCCCGTAATGAAAATTTAAAAAATACGTCTTGTAGATTTATGCCATTTATATACATATTGAAAATTTCATCGAAATCGGTTAATGTTGCTATGAGCTACAAACGGTTAAAAATTGTGAGAATCGCACTATTTCACTTCAGCCTATAACTGTAATAAATCTCAAGATTCATAGATCTTTCGGTGCCTGTCGCTTGTTTCTCCATCAGCCGATCTCGATGAAATTTTCAGCATGTGTATAATTCACACATATCTACAAAACGTATGTTTTAAATTTTCATTACAAGCTCAGATAAAAAAAGTTGTAAACAGTGACCTTTACCATTTTCTTCGCGATTCCCACAAATTGCAATTTTTTGCACACCGTCATCTAGTACACTAATCCTTCTAACTTCTAAAAAAAAAAAAAGCTCAAGTCGTTTGGTCCAATTTTTAAAAAGTTATACTGTTCTAAAGAGTGTCCGAATTTTTTTGTGACCGACTGTACATTGCGCCCAGCAACTCGTCTCTTCTTTCACGAAAATTAACGGTGAAATTAATGAAAATTCTACGGCAAACTTTATTGCCTTCTTGAGAAGAAGAAAAAACGAAACAGGCAAATTAAATCCTACGAGAATGGTGTAACGAAATCCAGTAATCGATCGAGCATCCAGAACGAACATTTCCGGCTTAGAGATTGCGACGAGCCAACGAAAGGAGGAAGTCATGCCGGAAGTCGTAATCGCCGCAAAAAACTGCTCGAATGATCCTCCGAACAAAAACTAATTCTTAGCCTTTTAACAGTAGCTACGGACATTCAAAATCATCTCCGACCAATTTACCTTTAACCGTTACGTTCATAATTGATAATAATTCGAAGTAACGAGATCGTATGAACGGATACATAAATTCAATAAAGTTTTTGTGAACTACGTTGTTGAGATAAAAATACAGAGGCGTCGTGTTTTATTAGTTCTGAAAATTTTCAATAAGTGTACACGGTAGAATGAAAGTTGGACGATCGTCAAATTTCCAACATTTACACCTTTTTACTATTCAACCAACGTTCACCTTACGAATTAATCAAGAATAATAATGAAATTATACATTTAACAGAATAATTTAGCGTACGTAGAAATTTTACGTATTGGTATTTACGTATGAAGTGAACGGTGAAAAGTAAAGGCGTAACTATGCGTAAGGTAACGGAACACAAGTGCGGGGAACATAAACTGGATCGTAGCACCGATAAATGCAAATGTAAATATAAAGGTAAACAGACACGAAACGAGTGTTTTGCCCAATCTTCGTTTTTCTTAATGTCAGAGGTTCGTTATGCCTTATTCATAGGCATTCTTACGTAACTAACGAGAATTCGACGGAGCTACCACAATTTGGTAGACATTAGCTATGTCCCGTTCTTTCCGTTTACTGGAAAATTCCATCTTCAATTTCATTTTGCACAGCACATGTTTCCCTTGAAATCATTTCATCGGAATTCACGTGAAGTAATAAGGAACCTGCTTCATTTGTAATCTACAGTTTATACAAATGACAATAGAAAATTGTATTCCTCGATTGATAAATTCCATACCGTAATGAAATTTTATTCGATATTTTTTTTAGCATCGTTCGTTATGTCCCTTTAAATTCTGCTGGATTTTTCTTAGAATATACTTTATCATTAATTTCCTTAAACGTAAATTCTTTTACGTTTAATGGAACGTGGTTACGTTGAAAATACATTTAAAGGGAAAAGAAGAAGAAAAATCTGGTGGATTTTTTTTTTTTTTTACAATATATTATGATTAATTTCCATTAGCGATATCCTTTTATTTT